GAATAGAAAGCAGATTATTGATATCAATGGCCAATGCATTGTTTTCAGGACTGGGTATAGTGAATGTTAGAGATATGATTTGCTTGAAGAAAGGCAGAAAAAAAATATTTTCAAGACCCACACTGATAGACAGATTCTGCAAAGTTTGCAGGAATAGGATGTTGTATGGAATCATCATGAGTTTATATTAATTTTGATAACCATATATATATGCATATAAAAATAGGGGAATGGGTGGAATTAGGAGGTATCATTTGGGAAATGAAAACTTGAGCATGCGGGATTATTGTTGGATTCTGCACAGCTCATTTTGATAAAAACAGCTCTTGTCTTAGTTCAGATACGTGTAAGTGTTGCCAAATGGACTACACCTAAGGCTACACCTTAGCACAGTTTGTACAGATCCATCACCTTGCTACAATGAAAGTAATGTTTAGGACTGGGGTTACGTTTAGTGCTCAAGGCAATAAAAATTCAAGTTTTCCCAGACACCGCAGAACTTGCAATATTACAAGAATGCTTCATCTTTAGTTTTGTTATAAACCCTGTTTACCTGCCTGTGTATTACACTTGGGCTTGAGAAGAATTCACTTGGAGAGGCTGAATTATCAGTTGAGCCTCAGAGATAGTAATAGGAGTCAGTCTCTTAGTTTCATGTTTGCTGTGGCTGTTGGTCTGATTATGGTTGTGATTGAGGGAGAAAAGATGAAGAACCCTCCCCATGTGGATTCTCTCTGCATCAAAGAGAGAGGAAAGTAACTGGTGTTATCAGAAGCTAATGCATTATTTTCATTTTTTTTGTTGTTGTTGGTTTTGTTTACTTAGTCATAAATGAGATCAGGATTGTTTGGAAAAAAAATAGTCTATTGTTTGATTCTGACCTGTCTGTGCAGACAAGATGAGGGCATATATCCTACTCCCCCAACCCTCCTTTTTATCCACGTGCATCTACATTGTTACATGAGAGGAGAAGTAACTGACTTCATTTATATAAATGCCACATTTAAGGAGCACAATTTTTTCGTTACCTTTCTTCTTTTCATTCAAAGATGTGGTCTGACAAATTTGTAATTCTCTATGAAGTTCCTCCTTTCTTGCTTTTCCATAGCCTTAATATACACAAAAGTAGGCACTGTTCTGATGCTGATACAGATGACCTATTTGAGGAGTTACAGCATATGGTATGGCTGGGATGTTAGTTTCTGTGGATTGTGGATCCATAGGACCACACATTTGCGAATGGAAGATTTACTGATGGAATTGTTCTGGAAATGTGTTGTGTATTTGGTTAAAAGGTTAAAAGAGAATGTCTCTGTCAACCTAAGAAATTAATTGAAAAAAAGCAGCAATCACTATCTTTCCTGGTTTCATTGATTTTGCTGAATCTTTATCATGACTGTGTTGTGGAATAGTCTGATTTTCTTTCACCTCCCTTGGTAGAGAGAAAAATATTTCTGAAATATAACTATAAACAGTAAATGCTGTTTTACAGCATTACACAGCACAACTTTTCCATCCTGTTCAGTGAGCAGCAGGAAGTACCAAGTATCATGCAACACTGCCAGCTCAATTTTGGGGGCTTGTTTCAGCCAAACTCCCTAATCTTTCAAGGTTCGTCTACTGATACTTTATAGCACATCACAGTGTGATTGATACAACAACCCACCATTCCTTTTTCATTTGCATAAATTTCTTCTTAGGATCATAACCTGTTGTATTTACAATTATAAATTCAAAACAAAAAGACATATGAGCAGTTAGTGTAATATTTAATACATCTCCTAAAGCATGACATATTAAGGATACCAGAGTTTTTCCTTATTTAAGTCAACTGAAAATGTGACATACGTATTTGATATGGGGATTAGTTTCTCAGTTTCTGTCTAGTTTTTAGATATTGCCATTACATACCAGAGCTGTCAAAAATTTATATTTTGATTGCTTTTTCTGAATTTATTCAACAGCCAACTAAAACTTACCTTTAATTGTAAGTCTGCCATAGTTTGCAACACAACACTTTCATATATTTGCCTTTCATTGCTTGTATCTAATTGGTTCTTGTATTCATTTGTTTTTATGTTTTATCTGAGACTTTCTTTTGCTGCAGACCAGTTGAAACAGATACATGGGCTGGGGGAACGCACAGGGGACAGTTTGGACAGGATCAGTTACTCTCATTGCCAACTGTTTATCTTGTCAGAGTCTCTGATCAGTTCTGCTTTAATCAGTTTTGTTCTTGAAGCAGTGGGCCAATATCTGCATACCACAGTCCATTTTTAATTATGACAAAGGATGAATGCAGATGTTTAAGTATAAAAGGCCTCTGACAGTCCCTGTTCTGCATTGTTTTGTGGATTGTCTTGTACTGGGCGAGTACTGGTGGCCTATCTAATACACAAGGAGGCAGTGCAGGCACAGACTAATGGTCTGCATGTGTCACACACTTGTAGCATGTTTATTAGTTTCTGGCAACAAAATGCTACCACCCTCACAGTTCCTTTTAACTGGTGGAAATTAAGACAGGGAGACAACTAAGAAGACTAATAGCTAACAGCAAATTAATTTAAGCGTAGTCATGAGAGTCCTGTACTTCCTCACAACTGAATAACTTGTTAAAGTACTTTGGAGTAGCATAAAATTTTATCCTGTTCTATAAGAAAGAGCACTGCGAAAACAAAGGTCACCTTTCAGGGAGGTCCCTGTCTCATCCTTGCCTCCCATTTGCCCACTTTTGAGAAGGACCCAAATATAATGTGTATATAAATAAATGAAAATAAAAGAAAAATACATTAGTAATTTATCATTCAATAAATATTTAAGTCACGTTATATTTATCTCATATTCTTCCAGAGTTACACATCCTGTCAAAGGACTTGCAGGGGTTGTCAAATGATGACTGCCTTGGAATATGAGAGTGCTGGCAGACTTGTTCAAATATTTCTCATTATGCATCTCAGTTCATGAAATAATGGCCATTTTAATAGTACTAGCTGATGAAAACTGAATCCCATGCACTATCATGCCATGTAATAATTATTTTTTAGACATAATTCTATTTTTATCACAGAAAAAAAAAAAAACACAAAACCTCTGAGAAAAGTGGTTGAGTTATATGTAGTAGCTTTCAAATTGACATGGCAAAGCTTTTAATTTGATTTGGTGCCTTTTGTTTAAGATTTGAAAACTCTTTTTAGAGCTGACCATTCCCTTTTGAAATGTGAGGCAGCCTTCAGTACACAAGCGCTATCAAAGTCTTGGGGACCACCAGTCCCAGGAGGCCAGTGGGCTGTGTGTGTTAACAGCAGTTCCCAAAAGGCATTGAGCAGTTCATGTGACAGGGAATAATGAAACAAGGATTGCACTAAAACTGCCAAATTGCCTTGAGCTTCCTGTCCATGGGCATGGGTTTCTGCAGAGCACATAATTCCTCTCTCAAAGGCAGTGTATTTACATGTTGTTTGTGCATTTGTATGGATTTTCAAAAGGCGAGTCTCTTGAAAATACTATTTTAATCATTGCTTAATATAATGAAATGTGAATATTTGCATCTGATAAAAGGACAAAACAGAGGAGAATATAGCAGGTCTGTGAGAATCACAAAAGAATAAATAAATGCAGGACCAGCAGAACATCTTGACATACATTTTGTCCTCTTTGATGATATCTTGAAATTGTGGTTCACTTTTTTCTCTATAATGTGTGTTACACTAAATGATCAATTCATCTCATCATGAGGTATTCATCTCCTCTTAACACTTTAAAAAACTTATCAAACAGGTGCTCACAATGTTTCAATATCTTAACTGCCCATATTTTGCTTTTTTTTTTTTTTTTCCAACAAAGTGATCATTTTGTAGTCAATATCATGAAAATAATTAACTTTATCAGAAAAATGTCAAGTTTTTCTTTCAACATGTATCTTCAAAGCACCAGTGGGTGTCCAAGCCCTGCTGTCTACCAGGCACATTGCCCAAACTATAAAATAATTAGATTCATTTGTAACCAGTCTGGATTGAAGCAAAAATTAATGAAGTCTACTTGCATAGTGATAGTAGAGGAAGATGAAAACAGTAAAGTGGAAGAAGTACAAAAAGTAAAACTCTAGATTAAAATATATCTTAATTTATTAATATTAATTGCATGAGATACTATAAAACAGGCAATAAAAATATAGGAATATAAAATTTCACATTTGGATTAAAGAGGTTCCATTACATTGTTTCTTCTAATACTATATTAATTTATGAGTTATGTGATCCAGACACTCACGATTTAAGTACCAGGCTACTGATTATTAAGTCACCACAGTAATAAGTAAGTTTTATACTAGATAACAATCTTCAGTAGATGCTAGGGAATCCAGAATTCAATTATTTCAATATTAAATTTCTTCTGGTAATTTTCATGTAGATTGTGAGCATGTAAATATTTTGCTTATTTGTATACTGAAAGTTCTACAGATATAATGAAAAAAAAATCATTAATTTATATATAAAGACTTGAGATTGGATTGCTAAATCAAAACATCAATCAGAATAAAATATGAACCTTCCAAAATGTAGTATTATCAAAAGCCTATAAGAAAGGATACAGAATTTCTGAAATACATTGGGCAAAATAATGGAAGTTGAAATAAACTTTTTTTTTTTGTACTGTTGTTAGACATTGAAACCAGAGATAACTTCTCTGTGCCAGGTGCAGTATTAGTGTAAATTCTCAATGTTCAGAGAAAGATTCAGATATGCTTAAAGCATCTACAATGTATGTTTGCAGATTCTAAGTGTAGGAGGCAATGTTTACCCTATTTTATGCTAAGGATTAATTTATTGATTCAAGATGATGACTGCAGTGATTTTCCAAAATTTGTTATAAAGTTTAGTTTTCTAATTCTCTACCAAACTATAACCAGATATGAGAGCGAGACAGAAAAGGAGAGAAAAAAAAAATGTATTTAATTCCAAATATTTATTATTTAGCTACTTTACTATCATCCATAGATTGCTCAGAATCCTTCAGTCCTCTTAAAGATAGAGCTTAAAGGATCATCACATTTGCAGACAGTAGCCATTTCAAAATTGAGCTTTGTTATACAAATAGGATTTTGTACATCTGTTTTTATTTTTAGGTATGTAAAAAGCTCAAAATTCATCCCAAATGATATATAGCAATCTTGTCTTTTACTTTCCCCTAGGTAAGAACATCCAACCTATCTTAACCATGAATACTGTTCCTATTCTTTATTTGTTCCCACATCTGCAAGTCAGCTATGACTCTGATCCTTCTACTATTTTGGCAGATGCCTAATTTTTAAGTATGTAAGTATATATTTGTACCCCATTAAGGGAAGTGTGTGTGTTTGTGTGTATATATATATATAAAATGTGTGTCTTTTTCTCCCCAGGAATAGCTCCAACTACAAGGTAGTTAGACATTTCTAAAATCATCATATGGTGGTTTTTATATATGAAAAGTAGAATCAATATATATTTCTTGGGCATCTGTATGGTGGCCAAGACAAAGATAAACTGGAATGATGTTAGTATTATTTTGAATTGGAGGAGACTTGAAATGGATGAAAAAAAAAAAAGAAAAAAAAAATAGAATTAATTCACTGTAGATACTCTTCTGTTGGACCCAAAGTGATTATAGTGTTGAAAAACCTGGAAAGACCTATAGGAAAATGACAGTAAGAAATGCTTATTTGCAATACTCTGCTTTGGGAGAGAAGAACCACTAAATGAAAATGGACATTCAGTCTCCACCATTCAGTGATGCCTGTGCCGCTAATGCCCAGGGGAAGAGACTGATGAATAGTAATGCTAAAACCCAGTAGAACAATCTCAGATAGTATCTAAAATAAGGTCCGGTCTTGCAGTTTTAACTTTTGGAATAATCCCATAAATTCCTAGAAACCCATGGTAAATTGCATCTAATTGCACCTAATTTAAGATATTGAGACAAATTTCTTCATGAATATAAGCAAGCATAACTATCGACTTCAATAGACTCATGTCAGATTATTAGAGCTCTGAATTTGGCCTTTTTGCCTTTGGAGCCTAAAGTGAATGTTTTGTGAATGACAGTGTCACAAGAAAGATGCATTTTGACAGGAATGAGAATAATGAACAGGCAGCTGGAAATACCTGGGCATGTTATGCTTCTTGGCAGACTTCACAGGCAGTAGAGCTGCTGACTTCAGAGTTGCCTGTGGGTCTGTCACTTTGTTCATCTCTGTCAGGGTTGATCTTCAGAACCATTTTGTCTCCAAGGCATCATTTCCCCCATGGCTTACCTTAGCCTGTAAGGAATTTACATGTTATTATCTGTGAAGATGTCTTAAATCCCCAATAAAACTCTGGAGCTCTTTCTTTATTATAAAAAATAATGGAAAAGAGATGGTAGCTTGTCATCCCATTATTTGTTTAGAAACATAATTTGTGATAGCATATATTTTGGATATGTTTCTGTAACTCACTGGACTTACTGTTTTTGAGAAAAAAAAATTTAGAAAGTCCCATGAAATCACCCTACAAAATGAAGCTGCTAACTTATTTAATATTAGTTGCCCTTATACTGTTAGTCACATTGTGAAATTTATTCCTCTTCATTGAGAAAGAGGAACACAAACAACGTCTTAAAAATTGTGGTTGTTGAGAGAGCAATAGTACACTGTCACAGCAGATATTCATAAAATTTCAAACACCTACATCAATCAAACAATAAAAAATGGAATGAAAGAATGCACAGTTTGATTTCAAACATGTCAAGCTAGTACAATCTACTAACTTTGAAACCTGACCACAAGTTTGCATTACCCACTTTTTCTGTTTAATTTCCAGCTGTGGGAGCCACAGGAATGGGCTGCAGGCATGGGAATGCTGCTGCTGTCCCTTCAACAGGGAGTTTCCCTGTTCCTGACTTCCCCTCCCCAAAGGCAAAATGGTCTGACTGGTAAAACAGTGGCTTCTTTCTATGCAGAACACAGCAGGAAGAAATGCAGGAATTATTTTGTTTCTGAAAAATTCCCCTTAAAAAAAGATGTTCAGTGCTTTGCTTCCTCTCTCACTTGTTAGGTCTCTCACTTTAAAAAAATGTGTTTATCCTCATTTCTTAAAAATGTGCTGCTGCTTTTATTTAATCTAATTAAACTGTGTATTCTGAGGGTCATCATTTAGTAGATAACTCAGATTTGAAGTTTTCAAGAATTTTTTTGGAGAAGAGTTGTTAGGTGCCAAGAGTTAGCAAAAATTAAAGCCCATGCCAGACTTCCATAGGTCTATGCCAAACCTCTGAGGAGTTTCAAGAAAAACCCAACAAAATAGAAAACTCTCTTAATATCAGTAAATGCTATTTCATGGGAAAAGGTGACCTGTCTCAAAAAAACCCTTAGCCCTACTGTCCCTTCTCCATTAAAGCATTGTTTCCTGCAACAGAAATATGCTCTTATATTCATCCAACAAATATTTGAGCATAAAATTAAAAGGTCACATTTAAGTGAAAAGAACAGAGATCAGTGAGCTCTGCTTGATTAAGCACATGTTGAAGAAAAGCCTTATAGAGTTCCACATAGGAGAACTTCTAAGGATTCTCCCCATTGTTGTGGTACTGCCAGGAAGCAAAACCAGGGAGGGCTCCATGGTACATAACATCCTGTCACACTGTAAAATCCAGCAGTCACATAATTTTTAAGTTAACAATTAACAATTAAGCACTGTCTTTCATCCATGGTGTGATGAAAGGTGTATTGTGTCACTTGTTTAATCACAGCTTATTGTGTGCTACACTTTATAAAAAGGTGAAAATAGGCCTGATGAGGTATTTATTTAGTTCAGGTGCACCTTTCCAAAGGGAAAGGATGGCGTGGCTTCCCTGGAATTAGTTTTTGAGTGTTACTGGCCATGCCTAACTGGCAAAGCTTCCCCACCTCAGTGCAAGCAGCTGGGGAGCTCAGAAGGACCTGGGAAATTCCTGTAAGAGGTAGGGAGCAGCTATATAGCTACATGTGAAAGGACAGGGAAAGTCTTCTTAGGCTTTAAAAAGGAATGCTGAGTTTATAGCAGTCTAAGAATTGGAAACTGCTGGACCTAGGAGCAGGATTTGGGTGTATAGGCACCAAGAGTGAGAAGGAGATTGTTTCTAAAATGTTACATTTGAACTTGTCTCTTTCAACAGATTTGTATTTTATCTATTTGGAAAGCTTTTTCCAGTTTGGATTCTGCTAAAATCCAGTTTAGCTGTTGAAAACCTCCAACTGCTTTTGAAGTGCTAATTCTAAGGAAGGTGTAGACAGTTCTGCCCTGGCTTTCTTACTGCTCTGTCACACAAGGTTATAAAAGCAGTCTCTTCTAAGGCAAATACGTTGATTCTTGTAGTGAAGCTAAGATGGAATTGTCTCTTTGCCTGCTTGTTAGCATATAGCTGTTTGTATCCCAGTGATGAATTATGGAGTCATATGATAAACTTCATTTAATATGTGTCTTTAATTTCACCTGCATTTGCCTTTTCAGCAGCTTCCCACAACATGCCTTTAACATTCCAATCCTTTGAGCAGTCTCAGTCAGGTGATCTTTTCTTTCGTTAAATAAACTGCCACAAAAATATACCTTCTCCCATCTTCCCTGTGCCAGCTATGGAGTTTCCCCTTGCAGTTATGCTAACCTGAAGTCCAGAAGGGCAATATTCCATTTTTGACTAATGTTGAATTGCTTTGAGATGGTCTGTTAGAGTAAGAAACAAACAGTGAGAGCTGAACTAGGAGACTGATGTCATTAGAAAGAGGAAATTACACTGAGTTAATGAGTTCTAAGATGCCAGAACTTAGTCTAACATTCCTATGTAAAATAAAAAGGATTTGGTACCTTTTAAACCAATAAATACAATTTCTCAGTTATACTATTTTTCTTCTTCCAAAGTCTGCAAAATGATACTCATCAGACTGTTTTGTAGTCACAGGTATTAAAAAAATATAACTCAATTTAAATGTTTTAAGTCGAGGAAAATACCTAAAAGTGTTACATGCTTCCTCTAAAATAATATATATGTGTGGTTTACCATGGAGTTTTCATCACTCATCATTGGGCCATAATTAGGCTGTAAATCCTGCTCTTGTAAATAATACAGGCTTTACTTCCTTTCCACTCTCCGTATCTAGATATATACTGTATAATAAGTATTCAGAAATTGATGGTAAAGAACATAGGTAATGACATGCTTGAGTTCTCAAACACAAATATCTCTAAGAGAATTTTAATTCAGTCTGTACGGAGCATAATCTCATCCTCATACCAGTTTTAAATAGAGTTAGGTCCATATAAGTCATCAACAAATTATATCAGAAGCACATGATTTGATGTACCTTAACTGAGGTTATGATATTCATTTTCGCATTCTAAATCTAAGAGAATCAATGTATTGGAAGTATTGATTTTTTTGGCATATATCCTTACCAGGCCAGATTGCTATAACCGTATTATGAAGTTTTGTGTTCTTTTCCAGTGTGGTACCAGGAGTTCTTTGCCTATTGTTTTTTCACTGGTGCAAAAATGTATCCTTGTTTACTGCTTCAGTATAGTATTATTCAATTAAGGTATAATATACCTTAAGAGGTAAGTGAATTCTGTATGTTTATATTCCATATTTTCAGTTCCATTTTCTTAAAACTTACTGATTTTGTAATTTCTATAGAGCACTGCCTTTTACATTGGTCAATGTAGTGGCAAAAGGCGGCAAATTCTTGATAATTTTCTAGAATTTCAAGTCTACTTTTTCACAAGGAGAAAACAAAGAAAAATGTGAATGATATATAATGTTTATCAACATTTTCCCAAAATTATGAAAAAAAAAATTTGGTGAGAAAATAAAAGTTGTTCTTGGGTTCTTCTCTATTTTTGGCTGTGTTGTTTTTCCAGTTTCTCACTTGAAAAATGGTTAGTGGTGGAGGAAGGGAAAATGAAACAAAAATATTAAAAATCTCTACCTAAATAATATTTAGGCAAATATGCTATTTCTATTCCAAAAGCCTTTCAGCGTAGAACATCCATTTAGATTTATGAGTGACATGTCCCCCTTTTTGAGGGTTCTTCGGTTACTAACACTGAATTGCAAGTTAAATGATAATTTTTAATTTATCTGTAAAATGACAGGGAAAAATGAGTTGAGATTTATTAAAGAGACAAGCTAAATATTAATTAAAAAATCTCATTCCTAGAAAATACTCTCATTCAGAATTAAATTGTGTGCATAACTCTAATATGTTTTAGAAAGATAGTGAGCTAAATTACACCTAATTATGAATGCTAATTCTGAATAAATTTGTCTACTCAGCCTTTTGATATGATGTTTGCAACGGGATTTTGAAATTTAGTTTGGATTGTTTTCCCAAGTGACCCTGCAAAGATTGACGTAGACATGGTCCTTAATCACCAGTTTATTCCTATTACTTGGGGAGTATGGAAAATTTACTTTCTCTGTGAACTATCCACAGTACAATCTGTATTTTTTTTATTCTGCAAAGAAAATGTTCAATTTCATGTCTGAAAATAACTGAGATAGTGGTTAATAAGCCTATATAATATGGGATTGTTAAATGATTTGAAATATTAGGAAAATAATTTCACAGTAACAAATGTACAATTTGATTATATTACCTGGTAGTATGGGTTTGATGGACAAACAGCAAAGGTATCATTGTCACAACATTGTTTATTTCTGTAATGCTATAATATTGGAAGAGAGGTAAGCAAATGCTTGCTATAACAGTAGTGTCTTGTTATAATTATGCATGAAAATATATAAAATAACTAATTCAGAAGCACTTTCCAAGTATTTTAGAATGTTAACTTTTTGCTCTCATGTCTGTGGGAAAGAAAAGGGTGGGGAAAGCTGAGAAGAGGTTTGAAATGTATAGATGAAGGAACTCTAGCAAACCATGTAACCATAGGCTGACATTGTTAATATTTTCTAAAATTAGTTTAGTAGTCTGCATTTGATGAGTTATTTCTTGTAGATATTTACAGTAGTATGATAAGGAATAAAATAGTAGATTCTTGCCTTGTTCAGTGGTGAAAGCAAGTAAGACTGGGTAGTGGAGCTCACGAGGCTTTTATTTAAAGCAATAAAGTGAGGGTTACAAACTTGTATTTTAGTAAAATGTCAAATAATCTGATTTATAAACAGATAAAATCAAGATTGTGAATTGTTGGAAAATCTGCCTAACAAACTGGAGAAATTATTTAGTCCCTTTTCTAAATCTTAACCGGATTTCCTTCTCAGGGCTGGAAAATGTTTCAGCTGCCATGC